GCTCTCCCGTTCATGTCTAATACAGGCCTCTAACTGTTCAATCGTCTTGGGCCTTCTTTGTCGCACCTTCCTCTTTATGATGCGCCAAATGTTCTCTATAGGTGAAAGATCTGGACTGCAGGCTGGCCATTTCAGTACCCGGATCCTTCTCCTACATAGCCATGATGTTGTGATTGCTGCAGAATGTTGTCTGGCATTATCGTGTTGAAGAATGCAGGGTCTTCCCTGAAAGAGATGACGTCTGGATGGGAGCATATGTTGTTCTAGAACCTGAACATAGTTCTCTGCATTAATGGTGCCTTTCCAGACATGTAAGCTGCCCATGCCACAAGCGCTCATGCAACCCCATACCATCAGTGATGCAGGCTTCCGAACGGAGCATTGATAACAACTTGGGCTATCCTTGTCCTCTCTGGTCCGGATGACATAGCATCCCAGTGTTCCATAAAAAACTTCAAATCGTGACTCATCTGACCACAGAACAGTCTTCCATTTTGCCACACTCCATTTTAAATGACCCCTGGCCCAGTGCGAACGGCTGAGCTTGTGGAGCTTGCTTAGAAATGACTTCCTCGTTGCACTGTAGAGTTTCAGCTGGCAACGGCGGAAGGCACGGTGGATTGTGTTCACTGACAATGCTTTCTGGAAGTATTCCTGAGCCCATTCTGTTATTTCCTTGACAGTGGCATTCCTGTTTGAGGTGCAGTGACGTTTAAGGGCCCTGGAGATCATGAGCATCCAGCAGAGTTTTACGGCCTTGACCCTTACGCACAGCGATTGTTCCAGATTCTCTGAATCTTTTGATGATGTTATGCACGGTTGATGATGATAACTTAAAAGTATTTGCTATTTTACGCTGGGTAACACCATTCTGGTATTGCTGCACTATCTTTCTGCGCAACAATGGTGGAATTGGTGATCCTCTTACCATCTTGGCTTCTGAGAGACACTGACACTCTGAGAAGCTCTTTTTATACCCAATCATGTTGTCAATTGACCTAATTAGTGTTAATTGGTCTTCCAGCTGTTCGTTATATGCTCAATTTCCTTTTTCCAGCCGCTTATTGCTACTTGTCCCATATTTTTTGGGATTTTTTGACACTGTGAAATTTTGAATCAACATATTTTTCCTTTAAAATGTTACATTTACTCAGATTAAACTTTTGATCTGTCATCTATGTTATATTACGAATAAAATATTGACATTTGCCATCTTCACATCATTGCATTCAGTTTTTATTCACAATTTATTTAGTGTCCCAACATTTTTGGAATCCGGTTTGTATGTTTAATTTCTAAACCAATCTATGCAGTCTGATATGTGACTAATAACCATATAAACATGAATTTGTCTAGTTTTTATCTGTTGTTTGCAGTTACTTGTGGAATTATGAACACTAATGATTAAATAAAATTGAAAAAAAAAGTAGCTTATTTGTTTTACAAGTCTTTACAACCTTCACCAGGGGTCTTTCACTGTCGACCTATTGACATAAAAGTTGTAGCCTAATAAACTGAGCACAAGTTAGCATTATTTATGACACAATTAAAACTCAGTGGATTGTATTCTCTTCATTTTGAGACATTGAGACAAATATGATCTATCACTCCTGTACTCTTCAGGACTTTCAACCGACTTCTCAAAGATTTTCATGGTTCTCTCGACTGCTCAGCGCCAAGTGACAAGCAGAGAGTCTTCTCAATCCTTTGTCAAACACAGAGTTTCATGTTTCAAAGACGGCATGTGGGACCAAAACAGTCATGAATCATAATTTACCATGAAAGTATAAACAGAGCGGTTTGTGTTAGAAGCTGATAGGATTCTGATGTCTGGTTAGAAAGAAATGAGAAAACTTTGTCCAGCGCCACCGACTAAATGCAGCTCGTGAGGAGGTTTGTGTTGAACTGATTTGTGTCTTTTTTGCTAAACTGGGTGATAAGTTTAGGTAATGTTGGATATGACAGAGAATACAACTGGAAAGAGCCTAACATAGATTGGAGTGTTTGTGTTTTGCTAATGAGGATTATCATTCAAACCAGTGAAAAGCACCTCAGCTGCGCGCCACTGGCATCAAACTGACTTAGTTCCTTGGTCCTATTTACGGGAATTATGAGACAATGTAATAATCACAATTGTTCTGGCAATGAGAACTTTCATGCCATTTGTGTATGTTGTGTTGCTGTACATCGCATGGCTAAGACAGCCATGCATTTCCGCTTTAGTAAGTAGAATATCATGTTTCACATTTAAATGCTCAATGCTCAGGGTGTCAATATGTCAAAGGTTAATATCACTATAGAAAAACGCCACTACCACGTCTTTCTTTCTGTTAACAGAAAGAAGATTAAGCTGAAAAATGTCCTCTTCCTGTTCTCTCCTCTTCTTGCTGCTGTTTTTAGGTTGCACATGGGAA